GCAGGAACGCGGTCACTGAACCCCCTAAGGAGCTAATGAGGTCAGGCCCGCGGGGAGAGCGCGCGGTCGGTTCCAGCGGCGGATGCGGGCGCCCGGGCCAGCGGGCCGCACACTCCGCCGCTTCCAGCAGGCAGAGCCCGGCCCCGCGCTCCGGCCAGGCCGCAGTGGCTGCCGTGAGCTTCGCTTTCGTTCCCCAACTTATTCATCACGATCTTTCCCCCAATCCGAGGCCCGTGGGCGCAGCGTAGGCTCCCAGAGGCCAAGGGCGCAACCCGAGGCCCTACCCAAAGCCTGGAAATGAGTTGCTATTTGACCTCTGGGCCGATGTGGGCCGGAAACCAAGGCCTGGGTCCCGCCGGGGGCTGCGACGGGAAGGCGAAACCCTGAGCAAGGCGAGTCCCTTTCCATTCCACTCCTTTCTCCCCAATCCCCAGTGCGGGGCCCACAACCGCCCCGCAGACTCACAAAGGATCCCACCAGCTCGGCCCAGGCCCCTTTCCCTCAGGCGCTGGAGGCCGCGCCGGGAGAGGGAAAAGAAGACGGGGCGAGATTGGAGAATATTCCTTCTTCCCCCAGGCCCGGGGCAGTAACTGGGAAAAGGCTGCCAGCTCACATCCCCTCCTCCCGGCCAGGACTGTGTTCCCAACCCTGACCCGCCAGCGCCGTCTGCTCCCCAAATCTATCTTCCTCGTTTCACAGCGCTCCTGCCCTGGTCCTGATACTGCCGTGGGCAGGAGAACGGGGTTCCTACTTACAAAGTCAAAACCAAAACAAAAGCGAGGACCGGCTGCTGTTGACCTTTTTTTTTTTCCTTTAGTCTTGCCTAGTTGTTTGTTCTGTTTTGTTTTTTTAAGAAAGTCACCATCTTCTCTCTCCAAAGAGAACTCGCTTAAGAATCCGCCCCATCTCTGCATCTCTCCCTGCGGTCCCTGCCTGACTCAGGTCTCCACGGAAGGAGAGAAGTAGGGAGAAGTGCGCTCGGGGCTGGGAAAATTAATCCGAATAACAACAATAGAAATGATGACAAAACTAAACTTTGACCAACTCATTTTTCGAAAGAGAGGGTCAGACTGAGGGTGGGAATGTCCCTGGTTTCTCAGGGGCTCACTTTCCCTCCTGCCTAGTTAAATCTGGCTCTATTATATTTTTTCCAGGGCTGCAGTATCTGACTTCCCAGCGTCTCCTTCGGTGCCTCACTTCCCCCCTTCTGACCGGATGTATTTGAGAAGGAGACGGGCTGTGGTGTTATTTTAATACCCACTTTTCTCCAATATTTCCGCAATTATTACTGCTACTTATTTCACGTAACATCGTGCCCGTTGGTGTTGTTGCCTGTGCTTTGGAAATGTGCCTCCTGCTCCCCAAGTTTGGCGGATGAGGTTTTTGTCCCTCGATCTAGTTCATGAAATGAGAAATGGAAACGGAACATGGTTCCGGGGGTCCAGCTGGGATAGCCGGGCGCGAACGAGCTGAGCTGGGGGTGCAACGGAGTGCTCTTCTTGCCCCTCCAATCTGGGGGTTCCCAGCGGGGAAAGGGTGCGGGTCTTGAGCTGAGAGAGCGTGGAGCCGCCCATCCTGTGTGCTGAGCTGAGCCTGAGAACTCCGGCCGTATCTGCCGCCCCGAACCTAGAAGGACCTCAGGGTGTAGCCACCACGTCTGCGTGGCCAGCACATCCCCTCGGCCTCCAAGATGAGGGGGGAAATACACAGAATTCCAGGCTGTGACCCGGGAAGATAGAGACTCCAGGTCTGGGGTGCAGGCGGGGGGCCTGTCTGGAGACCCCCTCCCTCAACAGGAGGGTGCAATGGAAACTTGGGAGCCCGCTGCTCTCGGGGCTCTGGAAAGACAAATTTTCTTTGGCAAAGGGAACGGTGTCGCGCTGTCGACACGGCAGACTATTTTTCTTGTTCCCTCATAAGGAGGGGTGGGGGGGGGAGAAAAGAGAGCAAGAAAGAGAGGGAAATTAAATCCACACGTGTTAAGCTTGCTCAAAGGGCCGGATTCAAAACCAGAGATGAAACTGCGCCTCCAGTTCTGGCTGCTCGCCGGCCTCTTTCCAGCCAGCCCCAGCCGGCGAGCAAGGCGTCCCCACCGGGGAGAATTCGATCCGAGGTTTCATAAAGCGCTTTGTGTGAGGGGGTTGGGGGCCATGGTTCCTTTCTGTCTACACCGCAGAGTCAGAACTCAGAGCGGCAAAGAAAACAAAGGAGGTCGGACGGTGAGGCTCACTGCCCCGTAAGAAAGCGCAGCTCCGTGTCTCCCCAGGAACCCGCGGCCTCGGGGACATTCATGGCCAAAACGAGCCAGACCGGTGGTTTTGGAAATTCACACCATCTGCCCGGGCTTTTCGGACTTGGGCCGCCCTGGGTCGAGAGAGCCTAACAAGCTGTTTTATTGACACTCGAATGGCCAGCTTAACCTGCCGGCTGACACCCACCCGCACCCCTCTCTTTGGGGAGAAACTTGCTGGTTAGGAGGTTACAGGCCCTGCACACAGGGAAGGGGGTGGATGGAGGCGGCCAGCCCTCCTGGAGCTGCGAGTGAAAACTCTAGTAATGACGTTAAGGAGGTGAAGGGAGGCGGGTGGGGGTGCGGGTGCGGAGGGCGGCCAAACCCCAAACTGGAGGGATCCATCACCAAAACGATTGCTTGGTCGAGACCTCTAATTTTTCTTCCCTTTCAGCCCGGGTTTCCGGCCTGCGGGGGGCAGCTGCGACAGAAGGGTCCGGAACAGGGGGACCCGAGACGCGCGCTCCCCGGCCACAGTCACATCCGGAAAACACTGGGGTGCAACGGACAGGTTCCCATTGGAAAAGCTCCTGGTGATGTTTCCGGAGGGCCCTGGGTTTGCTGGTCACCATGGCAACCTCGGAGCCCCATCGAACAACAACCGGGCGCCCCGGGGGGACCAGCGCGCATGTCCTGCGTCCTGAGGCCTGCAAGGCGCTGTCCCTGGGGCTGCGGGCTATTCGGAGGCCCCCAAAGTAGGTTCCACAGGCGGGGGCAGAAAAATCCCCTCTTTTTCCAACGGAGGAGAAAGTCGAGATTTAGTACAATCTCTGAGAGAGGTTCAGATCCTGAGGGAAAGCCCTGCCTAGAGTTCAGAGCGCTGACCTGGGGGTGAGGAGGGGGGAGAAGCTGCATGGGCCTGGGCTGGGCACCTGGGACGCAGGAGTCCCCGCATCTCTTCACACGGACTGCCCACCCCCATCCGCCCCCAGGCTCCCCCGTCTGTGTCTGTCCGACCTTGCCTGGAATAACCTCTCCTAAAGGGACCGAGGAAGGTCCAGGAAGCTGGCGGCATCCGTGTCTGCGAGGTCTATTGCGGGAAAGAATAAATTGCACTCCATTTCCTTCTAGAGAAAACCTGTCCGCGTGAGGATGCACTAGAAACAGCAGTGAAAGGATATTTGGGGGGTGCACTTCTCTCTTCTTGAACCCGCAGGAGGACAGGGGGACGGACACTGGACAATGTAGTTGGCATTTTGGAGGCAGCGGGCTCTGATACAGACCAGGGTGCTGACCAGCTCGGGCTGACCAGCGTGGCAGGGATTGAGGGTGCCAGTGAGGGGGCACAGAAAGAAGGGGTCCCGGCCTGGGTGCTGCAGAGGCCTTTGGCCATGGGATGGGAGTGACTCCTCTTTTGGGGTCCTACCCGAGTTTCACTCTGTACCCCATTCATCTCCAGGCTGGCCAGGAAAGACAGCATTCAGCCTCCTTCCCTCTGCTTCCAGCGGGCTCTCTCACGTCCCCCAAAGCCCTGGGCTGGCCCGTGCTGCCCCTGCCCACAGCCTACAGAGGTTCCCTCCACCTCAACTCAAGACCCCTGTCTCCTTCCCTCCCCAGGACCTTGCATTAATATTCTCAGAAGAGCCCCGTCCGTGTCTACACAGCCACAAAGAGAAATGTGAGCATTTGAGGCTCAAAAACCAGTTGGCATTGGAGGTGCAGTAACAGCTACCATTCTGGCGGCCGGAGCTGTTGCAGCAAGTGCCGCTCACTCGTGTGGCTCTGGATGAATTAGGCTCAGAGAGGGCGAGGACTTGACTAGTCGCACAGCCTCTGCCGGAAGTGCTCCCAGCTTCTCCCCACCCCCTAGGGCCTAGGCTTTGTGTCTTCAGGAAGAGGCTGAAAGGGAGCCCCGGCCCTTCCCAGTGGGGTGGGCAGGTGGCTGTGGGCTCAGCCTGCGGAGGTCAATGCTGGGAGGTCACTGGGATGGACGGCCTGCAGGGTCCTGGGCGCAGTTCCCAGACTCAGCGTTCTCAGGGTGGAGGGAGCAGGCCAGGCGCGGCCCTCTGGCCGGTCTTCATGTGATGCGCTTCCTGAGCCGGTAGTCGGGCTGCCTCAAGGTCCCAGGGGTGGGCCTCTGGGCGGTCCCAGAGCCCATAGGGGCTCCAGGCTTGGGACCCAGAGGGTCACGTTCTCTTGTTGTCCCTCTTCCAGATTCTTCTTCCTGTTGCTTGTTTGTCACAGCAGCAGGGCACACCTCTCCCACGCTGGCTCCTGGTGCTGCGCTGGCTGCCACCGTCCAGGTTAAGAAGGGAAGGTGGGGGACTCTGAGATGCAAACCTGGGAGTAGGGTCCCAAAGGGAGGCTCCAGGGGTCCCCGCTCTTTAACTTCCTCTCTTCCGTTTCCTCTACCAGGGACCAGCCAGGCTGGTCTTCCAGGGGTTGATTCTTTCCGACTCCCACCCCCACCCCCACCCCATGCAGAAGCGTGCTTCCTCTGAGGCTGCCCCATCTCCAGGCTCACCAGGGGCCTCCACACCTTCTCCCCCAGGACGCAGGCCAGGACACCAGATTCTGTTTTGGGGCTTTCTTCTGGCTCCAGCTCACCAACAACAGCTCTGCCAAGGGCCCGATTGATTTCCTCGTGCGCCCTGGTGAGTGCGAGGCCCAGCAGTGGAGCCTGACCCACAGCACCCAACCCACGCTCAGGACCACGCAATCCCCACCCCCCATCCCCAGTCTCCACCCTGAGACTCAGCTCCAGGTCCTGCTCAGCACCCCGAGAAGGTGGCTGTGTGACTCCTTTCTATGTGGCCTCAATATGACTCTGTCCCCTGGTGGGGCGTTGGCTCAATGGTTGAGCGTCCACCTATGAACCAGGAGGTCACAGTTCAATTCCCGGTCAGGGCACATGTCCAGGTTGTGGGCTTGATACCCAGTGTGGGGCGTGTAGGAGGCAGCTGATCAATGATTCTCATCATTGATGTTTCCATCCCCCTCTCCCTTCCTCTCTGAAATGAATAAAACATATTTTTAAGTTCACACTGTCCTCCAGTCTCTATGGTGCCAGTGTGTCCTCTGAGCAGGGACTTGGGGTGCCCCTGTGCTGTGTGGGAGTTCATGTGCATATCATTGTGTGTCCTTCCTAGAGAGTGGGCATTTAAAATAGCCATGGATTTTCCCGGGCGCCTCCTTGTGCAAAAACATCTGCGAGTCTGCGCTGTACATACGAGCCCGCGTGTGTGGCTCGGGCCTGTGTGGGTCCGTGTCGGGCTGTGGAATGCCCGTGTGCGTCAGGGCAGCCACCACCCAAACATCACCACAGGTCAGACGGTGCCCTGGGCCCCTAACCCCGTGTTCAACTCCCCTCTGCTTTTATTAGCCGCTTTTATGATTATTATTTCACCGACAGCTCCACGCGGGCACCCGCGGCCCGGCCTCCAGGAAGGCAGCCGGAGTCGTGCCGCGCAGACGGGAGGCCACGGGGGCTGTCTACAGGCTCCCAGGCCACCGGGCTCTATATTTGGAAACAAATTCCACAGTCACTTCCTGGGAACTGGGCAAAAGGTGCCTGGGAGTGGAGGAGACAGTGTCATAAAAAGAAACCCCCTCCCTCCCGCCCCCAGCCCTCGGGGGAAGCCCCCACACCCTGACAGTCTGGAAGCATCAGTAAAACCGGGGGCGTGTGGTCAATAATATTGCCATAGCTGTGCACGGTGGGTGCCAGGTGGGGACTGGAAATATCAGGGGATCGCTGTGTAACATGTATGACTGTCTCACCACTAAGCTGTACACCCGAACCCCGTGCAAAATAAAACTGAGAAAAAGAAAAGGGCCCCGGCCACACTTGACAGGAGGCAGAGTGCGGGTGGGGGGTTGGGGGGGGTGAATGCCCAGGCACACCCAGCCACTGCCCAGCGCCCCGTGCGTGCGCACCTGCCCCAGGACAGGTGGACTCCGGGTCCCAAGCAATCAGCTGCTGCAGTCCTCACCCCCAGACAGCCTCTGGCTTTGTCCCCAAGTCCATGGGCCTGGTGGGCTGTGTAGACACCAGGGGGAGGCCAGGGGGAGCAGCTCTCACTGGGCCGCCGAGTCCATCCCCCACCAGCCCTGCCTGGGAGCAGCCGGGCTCTGATTCCTGCCTCCTGTGCCCTGGTAGCTGGGAGGCAGCTGGCTGGCCTGTGCCCTGTGTCCTGGGCCCTTGCTGACACCACTGTCACAGCCTCTGTCCCCCAGGGGTCAAGCAGCAAAATGTGCCAGACCCAACCACTAGGGAGTCACTCTTGGCACACACAGCCGTGCACAGCCATGCACAGCCATGCACGATCCTGTCTCACACGCAATCAGGGCCACCCCCCACATATGTAAGTGTGCTCATTTTGTGGCACATGGCACTGGCCATACTCATCACCACACATGCACGTACACACACTCACTGACTGTCACACACACACACACATACACACACACGCACACTCCCATACTCATCACACAGACACACACCCACCTGCCACACTGAGTCAGACACACACACCGCGGTCACACAGCCGCCCACAGGCTCACGCCTGCCCATATGCAGCCATTCCCTCAGTCACACACCATCACAAGCAGCCACGCTGCCCACAGTCACGCACAGAAAGCCTCACTCACCGTGAGTCACACGCACGAGCCATGTGTGCCTGCACGCACACACATGCTCCTCTGCACGGTCACGTTCACAAGCGCTCCTGGGTGATCTGCATTCAGTCAGGGGGTCCACGGGCCCCTTGGACCCTCACAGCTCCTCTCCTGCAGCCTGGCCCACGGACGCACTCGGCTGGAAATTACTCACCAATGGCATGGTGAGGTTCCCCTGGAGAGAGCCCCTCCATTCAACAGCCCCACCCAGGCTGGGAGTCACGGGTTCAGGAGGTGGAAGGCCGTGTGGGTTTTTGCAGCTGGCGAGGGAGAAGCCCGTCTCCAGAACCCGTCCCCTCGCCACCTGTCACGCCTGGACTTTGACACAGGCCCATCCCAGAGGGCAGGACCCGAGCGAGCCTCAACAACTAGTCCAACTCTTGAATTTCACACACGGGGAAACTGAGGTCTAGAGGCACAGAGACAGACAGGGAAGAGAACTGTCCAAGCCCCCCAAGACTTTAGAACAGAACCGGGTCTGGAACCCCATCTTCTGCCCCATGCAGACCACACCGCACGATTGCTGGACACTCCCCCCCGCCCCAGCCTTCACCACCCTCCCGCCCACTGGCCAAGTCCAGCCCCCAAATGCTTTTTCCATTGACCTTTAGAGAGAATGGAAAGGAGGTGGAGAGACAGAGAAACATCGATGTGAAAGAGACACATTGATAGGTTGCCTCCTGCACAGGCCCCGACAAGGGCCAGGGTCGAGCCTGCAACCGAGGTACGTGCCCTTGACCGGAATGGAACCTGAGACCTTTCAGTCCACCCATGGGCCGGCGTTCGTCCCTTTCACATAGTCAGCATAGATAAATATTTATTGAGTAAAACATAAAGGTATGATAACAGATGGACTCAAAGGTATGATAACAGATGGACTCAGAGCCCAAGATGTGGAGACAATGAAAGGCACGACGCCGAAGAACTCAGAGCAAAAGTCTGAATGGTGCTGGGTTTGGAGAGAACAAAACCCTGCGGCAGGTTTTGGACTTTGGGAGCCTCGAAGCCTGAACTGCTTCCTCCGTCCCTGCCCCAGGTGCCCCCGCCCCGGCCATCCCTCCCTTGCCCTCTGGGCCATGCTTCTGTCCCCCTCCATCTGTTCCCAGGAGCCTGGAGAAGGAGCGGGCAGATAAGTGAAAGCGGTATTTTTATAGGCTGATAAAAACCACGCTTATCTAGAAAGCTCTGTCCCACCTCCCAAGTGTCCCTAATTGGTCATTTTCCCAGTGCCCTCTCCCCCAGGGCTGCAGACACCCCGGAAAGGTGTGTCCTCCCTGGCCTTCTTCCTCCTGCTCTAGAGCCCTCCCTCCCCCCCCCACCCCCAGTGAGGACGGGCCCACCAGACCTTTTCCAGGAAGCCTTGGGATCAGGAGGGAGGTGAGAGGGGTGAGGAAGAGGGGTGGTGGGGAGGGAGGGGTCCGGATTTCCCCAAGTGGGTTCGCTATGCCACTATTT